TTGTGCTTGTAAGACAAGCATTTACCCAGGCTGAGCTATCCCTTCAGCCCCCTTATGTTTAGTCTTCCCTTAGTTCTCATTGTGCAGGCTCCACCCTCAAGACCTAATTACCTGTAAAGGCTGTGCCTCCCATCAGTCTGGGGATCAGGACCTTAGCTTTTTTTTTTTTTTTTTGCATGTGGGGTGATGCAACTCAGTCTATCACTAAGCTAGCTTTTCTTTCAAGGGCCACTCTAAGAACAGTACAACACTAAAGGAAGTAAAATGGTTCCTTTACCTTGTCGAAAAACTGTTTATTCCAAGCTAAGTGACCACAGAGCTTTCCACGCCATCGTTACAGAGGCTAAAATGCAAAGAGCAGGGCATTAATGCTCTGGAGATGAGTTTAATGTGTGTTTGTGGGTGTCTGGGGTCTGCGGGCTGCTGGGAGAGACTACCAGTGCTAGGGTGCTAGACAGAGGCACTACAAAGGGTGGAGGTGGGAGGGAAGAAGGGATCAGGAATGTCACTGGCCCCGGCTGCTTATCTCTGTTTACAGGCACAAATAGTAGGCCAAGGTCTTGTTGTAACAGCAACAGGGGACTTGTGGCCACATAGTATGAGCGAATAGACAAGAACTCTGAAAAGTGACAGAACTCAGTGCCAGATGGAGTGAGGGCAAAGGAAGGACCTTGGGCCAATTGCTATGTGGGTGGGGAGCAGTGACCCTCTTTTCTCCCCCTCCCAGAAGAGTGAGAGCTGGGGAGGGGAGAGGCTCCTGGTGGAAGAAGAGGAGTTTGCTTTTGAACGCTTGCTCTCCCCCTACTGGAGACAGTGACTGGTTACATAGTTCAGGATGGCCTCGAACTTGTAATCCTTTCACTTCCACTTCACAGATACTGGGATTGTAGGCATGCTCCATCATATTCGGATATACTTTGAGGTATGGCGTGATACGTGTCCTTAGTTATGAGTTCAGAATCTGTGGGACAATAAGGACAAGAGTCTGATTTAGAGGGTTGGTCCTGAGCGTTAGCTCAAGGTAGACAGGTAGTTGAGCTAATCAACACGTTCTGTAGAAGAGCAGAGGGCCCTTCAGGCCCTGGAATTCATCTCCCCACAGAAATGCTCAAGAAAGGACCTTGGGAATCTCCTGAGAGGAATATCCAGTTCTCAGAGCTAGACTGGACCCCTCTGTCCATTTGGGACCATAAAGGGACCTCCCACCCCTTACAAAGCCTGCTAGAACCAGACAGCTGGTATTCCAGACTGGAAGGCTTTTCAGAGCCCAGCAACTTCTTGCCTTTCTGTTGCTGATTGCAGCTTTTAGTGGCCTGGGGTCAGTTCTTGATGAGGACATCACTCTAACCTGCCTGGTGCCAGCTTCCTCCAGCTTAAGACATCAATCATGCCCTGGTAATCTAGCCCCCATGGTCTGGTATAGACAGGTAATGGCTGAGGTTGGTCCATGCCTGCTCCAGCCTGGGGCATACTGGTCACAACTCTTACAAAATGACTCATATGCTGCCAGCCTGTCCCGGCTCCTTCTGCCCCCTGCCCCCTGTGGCTTTAATGCAAATGTCACCCGTGGGATCCTTTCCTTGTGGGACGTTATTTATTTATTTATTTTTAAATGCCATATTGGAAAGGACATTTGTCTTCTCTTCTGTTTAAATTGCTTTCCATGGGTTTGGGAGACCTGGCCATCGATTTTCTTTTAGAGTGTGTAGAAAGCTCCGTGAAGATTTTGGCTAATTAACTTTCGGAGAAGTGCCACTTAAACTTATCCAGGAGGTTGAAGTCTTTTTTCTCTTCCCATATCTTCAAAAATGGCTTTTAACTTTTGTTTTCAAATCACTGCCAGCACCCGGTCTGTTTAAAAGTGACTTCCCTGGGGATAGATGATATGGGCTGTCACTTTGTGAGACTCCAGTCTTTAACAGTGGGTTAGAGGTGCTTGTTGTGCAAGCCCAACTGCCTGAGTCCAATCCCTGGAATCCATGTAAAGGTGGAAGGTGAGAACTCCAGCACCACACAGTATTTAATATTTATAAGAAGTTTCATTCACCCAAAGATTACACTTTTGAAAATACACATTTTCCCAGCATACCTATTGGAACTGACACTGCGTATTAAGAGATCAACTCCAATTTCGCTGTGTCCCAGCTTTGTTTGGCTTTCTCCTTCACTTGGTGTGAGGTGAAGAGATTGGACAACTTCATTGTTCAGTTTTAGTAAGTTCACTTTCTTGTTCCTCTGATGTGGGCCAAAGCTGTTGGAAGCGAGGAACGTGGAAGGGAAATTCACCTTGAAATCTTACTGTGGATTTCTTTGGTACTGGCTTCCAGAAGTCTATCTGGAAGAAAAATCCTGTTTCCTTTAGGAGATGAATTTTATCCTATCCTCCATTTTCTTTTGACTCAATTTTATTTTTATTTTTTTTTATTTTTTCCCCTTAACCAGAATTTCTTAGGTTCAACTAGTTAACATGTTTTTATTGAAAAAAAAAAAGATCACGGATGAATCTTGGATCAATGGTGGTGCATACCCCATCTTCTTGGCCCTTGGGAGCTGAGGCAGGAACATGGGTTACATAGTAAGATCCTGTCTAAAACAAAACAATAGACCATGGGAAACCTTCTCTCTTGTATTCTGATCAGTTCACACCAATAGGCGGTTGCTGCTGGAGGCCCTGGGCCAGCTGTATCATCTTACATGGGTTGACCTGCCTATAAATGGTTCCATTCCTCTGAGACACATTGCCTTAGCAGGGGGAGCCATTCAAGCTACTGCGACATAGGCAAATACTTTGTCAAAAATGTTCTTCATTTTTGATCAATCTCACGGTCCTTGTTAGTATCTTTGATTACATCAGATTATGTGCCGTTCCATTTTATAGCATTTTAATGGGCTCTCAACTCCCCTCCCCAGTTCATTTCCTGCTGTGCAGTTATTAGGATTTGATGGCAGTTTGGTTTTGTTACTGCTGGGATACCTTCTGTGTGAATATGAGGATCTTCAGAGGTGAAGAGAGGGTGTGGGGGGTGAAGGATGGGGGAGGGGAGTCATTGTTTGTATCTCAGAGGCTTGTCAACAATTAAATTACAGATGAACCTCCTGTGACTTCATTCTCCAACTGTAAGATGTTTGCTTTACATCCTTTGGTAGGAGGCTGGTGAGAGGCTTGCTAAAAGTGCTTGCTGACCAAAGCTTAGGATCTCAGTTCCATCCTTGATGGAAGGACAGAACTGGATCTGCAAACTTGTCTTCTGATCTTCACACACATGCCCTATCCCCACACTCACACACTAGTAATATAAATAATAATAGTAACCAGCATAAAGTTAAAAGATCCTTAGTAGAATCTGACCTATTGACTTAAAAAAAAGAATAGGAAAGCCTGCTTTAAGCCTTGCTGTGTAGCAAGCAGTAGAGGAATGTGATTAGAACCCTGTGTAATGCTGGTAGGATTGTGAAATGGCTGAGCCACTGTGAAAAACAGTACGGTAGTTCTTAAAAAAAAAAGAAAGGAAAGAAGGAGGGAAGAAAAGCAGAATTTCTATATGGGCCACCAAATCCACTCTTGGGCCTGAACTCAAAGTAATTGAAAGTAGAGACTTGATACTTTATGCCCCTATGTCTACAGGGTATTGTGATGTATTTTCTAAAAAGAGTGTAGTTATCATATTCACAGTGACTAGAGCATGAAAGCAATCCAAGTATCTACTGACTGATGAACTGATAAGCACAGTATGGAATATAACACAGTCTAAAACGGAAGGACATCCTGACACACATCACAGCACAGATGAACCTAGAGTGCCATAACATGCTAAGTGCAACATGCTGGCCTCAAGAGAGCTAAATTGTATGAAATACTTGGTTCACTGATTGACTCTGTTTAAAACCAGGATGGTTTTCTATTTGTATCTTCTTTGAATTGTTCTGAGTTCAAGTATTATTATTATTATTATTATTATTGTTGTTGTTGTTGTTATTATATAATTATTATTATTAATCTTGACCTGATTAAGCATCTCTCTCTCTCTCTCTCTCTCTCTCTCTCTCTCTCTCTCTCTCTCTCTCTGTGTGTGTGTGTATGATGTATGTATGTGTGTGTATAAATGCTACATATATGTGCTTGCATGTGGAGGTCAGAAAACGACGTTAAATCTCCTGGAGCTGGAGTTACAGGAGGTTGTGAGCTGCCTGACTGGATGCTGGTAACCAAACTCAGGTCCCCTGGAAGATCAGCTGAGCCTTCTCTCCAGTCTCACTGTTTTAATTTTTATTAATTAAATTTATTGTGTGGAAATTTTATACACATAATACATTTGGATGACCACATCTACCTCCCTTATAGCTCACCCACCGGCATTGACCTCCCCCTTTCCATACAACTCCTTGTCTCACAATCATGTCTTTTTGTTTTGTTTTGTGCCCTACTGTGTTTAAGCAGGACTGTGCGACCATGGGTGTGGGACTATGCACTAATGGGCTCCCTGTGGGGGCTCTGCCTTCTGTAACTCTCCCTCAGCAATTCCTAAGTGGGAGGGGGAGGCAGACATTTTAAATACTTCTCTTGCTTGATTTTGATCAGAGAAAGTTCTTTTCCTTTAACTGTGGGTTTAGAAGATCCTTGCTTCTTACAATGAATGGCTGAACTGCCTGTATAGTCTTGGTCTATCCTAAATGCTTCTCTGTCATAATAGGAATCTGGGTGTGTTTTGGCAACTTCTGAGAACCAAGTGTGGAGGTGCACAAAGCGGGGGCTCTGGCAGCTGGATGTTTTGTAAGTCCTATGCAGAACACTGCCATGGAACCACCTCCAGGGGCCTGCCACTTCTCAGCCTCCCAGGACAGGGCTGGTCACCTTTACTGATGGTTTGCTCTTTGGGCTTTATTTTAAAGGAGTTTCTAAGTGACTTGGTAGATATGGGACAGGACATGGAATCTGGTAGAGAGTTGATGACAAATGGGGCTCCTGGTGCTCATTGGCTTGGTTGCCATAACTGTGGCTTCTTCCTGGGGACAGGGTAGGGGACTGCTTCCCTCTGGTGGTGTTTCTACTTTCCCTGGTCTCACTCCTTTGCTGTCTTGTCTCCTGTAGGCTTGGGGATCAGTTCTACAAGGAAGCCATTGAGCATTGCCGGAGCTACAACTCCCGGTTGTGTGCAGAGCGGAGTGTGCGTCTCCCCTTCCTGGACTCGCAGACTGGGGTGGCCCAGAACAATTGCTATATCTGGATGGAGAAGAGGCACCGAGGCCCAGGTGAGCCAGGCCACTGCTGGGACCAGCATGAGTTTGGATGAAAAAGTCCTGTTGTGTCCGGGAGTCCACACAACTGGGTAGGGTGGGGGTCACAGATGGATGAGGTGTTTATCTGGAAGAGTCCAGTGAAAGCAGTTTTCATTTTTCACCCTTGGGTGTTGGCTAGAATCTGCAAATGTGCTTACCTGTGGGAATACAGCTTAGTTTTGTCATCAGAACTCTGTCCCCGAGGCTTGTCATCTCTGAAGTGTGGATAATCTCAGTATTTACTACACAGAGTTTATTGGGATTAAATGACAATATCTACAAACAACTCAATATGTATATGCTCTAAAATGCTGGATATTATTGCTGTCATGACCATGACTGTAATCTTGGATTCTTGGAATAGAATAAAAACTCACTGGTATAGATTAGGGAGACAGCTAGCTCTAGAAATGCAGTTTTCTGTGGTCATACTTATTTAAAAATGTAATTTTGTGTGCATGTGTATATACACACATATGTGTGTATACCCATCCATGTGTGTGTGTATATGGGATGTGTGTATGTGTGTGGGGGATGTGTGTATGTGTGTGTGGGTTACATGTGTGCATGCAAGTATCTTCCTTAATTAGTTGCTCGTCATCTTGCATTTTGAGTCAGGTTCTCTCACTTTTACCCAGAGCTTGCTATTCAGCTCAGCTGGCCAGTCAGTGAGTCCCAGGGGTCTGCCTATTTTTTTCCTTTCCAGCACCAGGATTAAAAATGTGTGCATTTACATGGATTCTGAGGATTGAACTCAGATTCTGTGCTTTCATAGTAAATACCTTACTGACCAAGCCATCTCTGTAGCCTCTGGTTTATTGTTTTTTTTCCTTATGTTTGATAGGGTCTCACATAGCCTAGGCTGACCTCAAACTTGCTATGGAGCCAAACCAAACTTGCTATGATCTTGACCTCTTCCTGGTCCTCTTGCCTCTATCTCTTAGGTACCGAGATTAAAGGCATATGCCACCACACCTGGCTCTGTATGAGTATTTTAAACAAACTTCTGTTTGGAAAAGTTTCATATTCGTGTAAAACTTGGATAATGGCAGAGAAAACTGAAATCCTCATGGTCAAGTTCCACAACAGTCGCTTATGGCCAATCATTACACTCATACTTAGCTGTTAACTTTCTCCCTGACTCTGGATGACGTTGAAGTAGACCTGGGACAACACATCATTTCATGTATAAATACTATGGACTTAAAATGTCAAATCATTTGGGTGCAGTGGGACATGCCTGCAATCACAGTATTTAGGAAGCTGAGACAAGAGGGTTGCAAGTTGGAGGCCAGCCTGGGATACATGACAAGATTTTACCTGGAAAGATAAAGGAAATAACCAATCCATCTCACAACTGCTATCAAATCATGTAGTCGGCACCCATTTCTCCTTCTGCCTCTAGTGTAAACCAGGCTCCAAATAGGATTCTACGTTGCAACTGGTTGATGTGCCTCTTAGAAATCTGCAGGCTTTTCTCTGACACACTCTCTCCCTTGTATGTTATTTGTTGAAAAAACTGGGTTGTTTGCACCGTAGGGCTTCCCAGAGCTCCGATTTGCTGATTGCATCCCCATGGTGTTATTCCTGTGAATTGGTAATTAGGTCTCTCTCTCTCTCTCTCTCTCTCTCTCTCTCTCTCTCTCTCGCTAGAGCAATTCCTAAGTGGTAGTGTGTGCTTTCATCAGGACACTCACTCTTACAATCTGGTTATCTTCCCTTTATTCATGTTAGCAGCCCTTGATGACAATCATCTAGATTCTTATTCCATTAAGAGTTGCAAAAAAAAGAAAAATCAAAAAAACAAATGTGATGTCTGATCATTGTTTCTTCATTTACTAGCTGTACAGCTTCTTTAAAGAACATCCTCTTATTAAAACTTGGTTATCATGAGGTACAGCTGACATGATATAAATGACATTTCCTCTGTATTTACCAGTTTTCAAAATAATGAGTCAGTTCCTTGGTATTGTCCAAAGCTGATCAATACAGTTATTTTAAGTGCTATCAGGAACTTGGACTTAAACACATTTGATGCACTTTAAACCATTGCAGTTATTATTCTGATTGATGCTTACGTGGTCCCACTTTCAGCCAGTAGGGCTTTGGAAACAGCCCCAATTCCTTCTGATGGCTTCCTTGCCATCCCAATATCAGGACAAATCAATGCGGGCTCACTTTGTATACTTCTTGTCTTAGACCTAGATGGAGCTGCTGCTTCTCTAGGAGCCCTGGTTTCTTGTTTTGTAGATGTTTAGAAGCTGCCATCTATGCTGTTCACAGCTTCTAGGATTATCATTGTTTCGCAGGCTTTCCAGTTAGCATAGCTAGGCAATATGATATTTTAAGTGAAATATACTGTGGAGTTACACTATTTCCTAGCTAATTCAGTTTTAAATAGTTTGTACTTAATTATCTTTGTTCTTCTTTCAGATGGACATCCAAAACACACACACACACACACACACACACACACACACACACACACACACAAGCTCTCTCCATGAGTGAACACATGTACATACATATCACACACTTAGATACACACATGCACAAAAGCATGCATACATACAACACATATGCACATATAGCCCCAAACCTGGATTTATCTATGCTGACACACTTGCTTTATCTGGGACAGAGCTCACAACAGACATATCAATTTCATAGTAACAGCAAGATTATTCATAGTAAGATTACTGGACAGGGCCTAAGATTGTTTTCTTTTGCTGTTTGTAGGTCTTGTCCTCCTTAGGCTGTAGTGCCAAACCACCGTGCCTTAAAGTCACATCAGATTGTCTTCTGTGTTGGTTGTGACAGTAAGTCTTCTACACGGTTGGATTTATAGGTTTCATTTTGCTTTTATTTATTAGGGATTGCTCTTTGCAGAGGCTCCATAGCATTTCTTTCCCTAAGATTAGCCTCTCATTTTGAGTCATTGCATAGCTCCTGGGAACTGCGAACACGGTTACAGAGAATGCCTGTCTGATTTTCATTCACTTTCCCCTAAGATCATATGAGACATCACACCACAAGTTGGTATCGGTAAAATTTGAGTGAAGAGTCTTGCTATTTTTTTTAAAAATTAAAACAATTTTAAAATTCAAATCTATTTTGACCATATTCTTCCCTTCCCCTAAGTTCTTCCAGACCTTGTCTCCTTCCCTACTTACCCAACTTTAAAGTCTTTTTCAAAAAACAGGCAAAACCCCAATACAATAGATTTCCCAAACCAAGAAAACAAAATAAAACACTACTGAAAAGGAAATTAAAAAAACCACAACCAAATAAAAACACACACACACACACACACACACACACACACACACACACACACTGTGGAGTCTATTACACATTGGTCAACTAACTCCTGAACATGAGGCCTTCCTCGGAGTGGTTGATATACCCAGTGCTACTCCATTGGAGAAAACTGATTTTCCTTTTCCCAGCAGGTATAAATGACAATTAACAGGTTAATTGTTAACCATTACCAGTGTCTAGGTATTCATTCATTCATTTTAAGATTTAAAAAAGTAGTAAGTATATATAAATATAAGTATGTAACAAATAACAAAATACATAATATATATAAAATATACAATAAGTGTATATAAAATAAGTGTATAATAAATAATATGTAATAAAACAAAAACTATCAGATTGAAGTTGGATAAGACAAACCAACAGAAGGAAAAGAGTCCAAAGGAAGGCAGGAGAGTCAGAGGCCCACTCATTGCCCCACCCAGGAATCCCATAAAAACACTAAACTTAAGAGTCTTGCATGCAGAGGACCTGTGCAGACCTGTGCAGGCCGTGTGCTGCTTCAGTCTCTGTGAGCTCATATGGGCTTTGCTCATGTTGACTTAGAGGGTCTGTTTTCTTCCTGTCCTCCATCCCCTTTGGCTCTTAGACTCTGCCTTCTCTTCTACAGGGTTCCTCGGAGACTTTGCCATTTTGTCACACGTAACCAACACCACAATCAAGACATGAAATCATTTCCTCCCTGCAAAGACCTTTTTCATACAACTCCCTTATAACCACACCTAACCTTTCCTCTCATCAAATCTCCATTTATAAAATAGCTGCCCTACTGACCATTTAGCTATTCAGTTGGTTAGAAGGTGGTACTAATAAAATAGCTATCAGTTGGTTAGATGGAGGTGCTATAAAATAGCTGCCAGTTGCTTAGGTGGTGGTACTGATAAAATAGCTATCTTGAAAAAAAAGATTTACTTAAAGATCTGTGATAACTCTTGGGTTTCCTTTATGAGAGAACATGTTGATTTTTCCTTCATTCCCAAAGAATACTTTTTATGGATATAAAATCACAAATTGATAGTCCTTTTTGAATAGCATTTGAAAAACTTGCAACTTCCCCAGTGGTTTGTGATATCTGTCAATCATGGGGCTTTCCTTGAATGAGACGTGTCCTTATTTCACCACTGCCAAGTTTTTTCTTTGATTTTAGTTTTTGAAAATTTAATTCTGATGTATCTTGGGATAGATTTGTTCAGCTTTATTATATTTGAAGCTTATTTGGCTTCTTGGACTTGTAGTTTTTTGTTTTTGTTTTTGCTTTTGTTTACTCTCCAATTTTTTTTTCAACCCCATTCACTTTCTTTTTGAGAGCCTAACAACACACATGCTAGATCTTTTGCCACAGCCCCGTAGCTGCCTTCTTTGCTCTATTTTTTGTTTAAGAATGTGAGCCTTTATTATGTATGAGTGTTCTGCCTCTATGAATGAAAGTGCACCACGTGTGTGCAATGCCTGTGGATGCCAGAAGAGGGCATTGGATCCCCTAAGACTGGAGTTAGACAGCTGTGAGCTGCCTTGTGGGTGCTGGGAATCAAATCCGGGTCCTCTGCTGAGCCATCTCTCCAGCCCCTCCACCCCAGATTATTTTTGTTTTTCAGTTCCTTATGGGCAATTTCTATAATTTAATCTTTCTTTTACTACATTTTTATTTTCTC